CCATCTATCTAAGCCCAACCTCTCCCACCATCCAGAGTTCCATTCAGCGGAGTTTCCTCCTTGTCCCTCCTCCTCTGAATCCGGAGACATGCGAGATATGCGGCTTTGCCTGGGCTCCTCCTGTCTCTAAGACCGTCTCCATTCCCTGCCTCCAAGGAACCCCGGGGTTCTGCTGGCACAGCCTCACCTCCCCTTCTTTCCTGGCTTCTCGGCCCCCTGCCCCGCCCCCAGACTGGCTCTCCGAGGACGGGCGAGAGGCTATCACCGCCACCGCCTCAGCTTCCCACAGCCCCTACCTCTGCCGCCGCTGCCGTCACTGGGTTTGGTCCAGCCGCCAGGCCCAGTGCTCACTTCGCCAGAAGACGGCGCTCTGCAGAGGCACCCTCACTCCTTCCTGGGTTCTGGGACACCTAGCCAGGCGTGGGGGGAAGCTCCGCTTGCGGGCTACAGGGAGAGAGGAACCTGGAACCGGAGCCAGCGCCAGCCGTGCCCGGATCGACAAGACCAGACAGGTTGAGGGGCATCGGGGAAGGAACAGGGGGCGCTATAGGCAGTCCTGGGGAGGACAAGGAAACCCTGTCACAGAAAGCTCTGATGCGCTCTGACTTATAGTGGGTCTGTTCACATTTGGGGACCTGTGACAACGTGGGTGCGCTCCTCTCTCGGGGGGCTTGCTGGATTGGAGGGCATGGGATCTAAACAGCACCAGCTGTCCCCGAGGAAATTAGGGGCTGCCAGAAAAAAAGAAAAAAGCGAAAAACCTATGCTCCTTATTCCGAGGTGACACAGGGCCCTCCAGACAACCACCTGGTGTAACCACTAGGAAGGGCGGATTTGGAGGTGACTTCAAAAGGAGTGGATGGTAACAAGGTGAGGAAAGGGGCTCAGCAGCTGGAATGCTGTGCCACTAGAAATGGCGGTGACTTGGTAAAAAGCGGTATCGTCCAGAGACACGGTCTGGGAACCTCTTCTTGCTGATTGGCGACAGTCTGGATATTTCAAGCCATAGTTTTTGGGGATTTCAGTGAAAAACAGTGGGGGATTCTTCACTTCGAGGGTGGCAAAAGAAAAGACACCAAGGTTGGGTTCTCCCTAGACACTGGCAGCACCCCAGCACGGGTGGGGTGAGCTAATATCCCCAAAGCTAAGGACCCACACCCTTAAAATTACAAGAGTGGCTTTGGCAGTAGTACAGGGCCCTGAAATAGGGTGGAAAGGTGCCTGGGGATATAGGAAACACATCCTGGAATATCTGAGGGTCTTGGCTTTGGGATAGTGTTAGTGGGGGACAGGGACATTGCAGATCAGAGAAGGGGGAGATTTCTGTGGGGAGCAAAGGTCGAGGGTTGAGTCAACTGAGAGGTACATAGGCTGCTGGGTCTGACGAAGCTTCCACGAGGCCCAAGGGTGGGAGCTGGTGCCTGGGATGGGGTCGTCTATGGCTTATCCTCAGGTCCCGTGGGTGAGGCGGCGAGTCGGACCGGAGAGTCAAGAGCATGTGCTGGTGAGCTAGCGGGTTTCTCCTGGGTGGCCCAGCGTGCTCCGGGAGCCTGCCGGTCTTGGGGTGCCTCCCCCTAGGGCACCATGCCGGCACTGGCCAGCAGCCTGATCTGGCAGAAGCGGGAGGTCCAGCAGCCCGGGGACAGCCGGCCCGTGTTGGCGCACTGGCGCGTGTGTCGCCGCAGCACCAAGTCCCTTTGCCAGAAGCAGCTCCTCATCCTGCTGTCCAATGTGTGACTGTTCGGGGGGGAGGCCCACGTGACCGGACCGCTGCCCGTGTGGGTGCCTGGGGAGGGGTTTCCGGGCCGTCGGCCTCTCCGCCTGGGATGTTGAGGCCAGGGACTCGGAATAGCAGTGTCCGACTGACGGGGACTTCCCGAAAGTGAAAGGAGGTGGGCCTGGACCACAAACTCTTGGCCAGCCGATGCCTCAGTTTCCCTTGTCTCGTGCCCATAACTCCGAGTCTCCTTGCTTTCGAGGACAAGGGGAAGGCTTGAGCGGCTAAGCCTGGTGCCCCGAATCCTGGAAGCTCCCGCTCGCCACGCCCTCCCAACACAGGAGTCTCCACCCCCACCACCCTCTGCCTATGTGCCGTCTCTCACGATTTTTTCAATGCCCAGTGGAGGGGGCTGAGGAATCCAGACGCCTGGGTCACCCCGAGGGTTTCTGCGGCTCCGGTCGCCCCGTCCCTGTCCCGGTTCTCCCGCTCCTCCGAGCCTTGGATCCGTTCCTCCTCGTCGAGCTTGCCTGGCTCGGTACCAATCTCCCCAGCTCTCCCCTGGGTGTCCTTGCAACTACCTCGCCAGTCCTTCCCTCTGTGCGCCCCCCTCCCGTGATCTGCACTTCAAGAAGGGAGCTGGGCAATCCCCCACGACCACCTACGCGGCTCAGAAATGGGGCCCCACAGGCTCAGGAGACCCTCTGCCGTGAGGAATTCAGACACACTACACGGCTGGATGCCCGCACGGAAACTGGAGGTCGTACCATCTACGAGGGGGTCCCGGGATCTTGGCCGCAAGCGCCAGGTGAGGAGAGTGGTGAGGGTTAGCCTGTGGTCCCTGTCCTGGTGCGACAGGCAGGAAGTCCCTCTGGCCTCGCTCCCATCTGCTTTCAGCTTCCCTAGGGTGAGACCCCCCACCACCCCGCTGGCATCCTCCTACCCCCACCGCCGGCACTCCGCTGTGGTACGGTCAGCAGCCCACCCTTTGAGTGGGACCAAGCCCACACGTGTGTCAGCCAGCTTGACCAGATCTCTGAACGCCTCCCACATTTCCTTGGTTTGGTACTGAATATCCCCCATCCCAGGCGGCTTACCTGGCTGACGGGGAGAGGCTGAGCCTCAGGGATGGCTGAGACCCGTGAGCCAGCAGACTGACAGACACACAGACAGACAGACAGACAGATGGGTCACTGTCAGACACGCCGGAGCTGGGCCAAGGCGAGGCCAGCACGAAGCGAGCTGCATCTGCAGCAGCAGGTGCTGAGTCAGCGTCAGGCCCAGTGCCAACCCCACTCCTGAGGGGGCGCTCCTACACTGGGGTGACCTTAATGCCCCCCACATTCACAAACACACTGCCCTTTCCGCAGCTCTGCCTGTCTCCCTTTGTCCTCTGCGTTTCCATGTATCTCTCCCCTTCCTCTTCCTTCTTCTCCCCTCCCCCCATTCTGGTTGAGCTGTAGAGTAGGAATTAAGCCTTTAAATAAGTTTCAATCAATTAAACTGAAAGCTGTTTAGAGGAAGCAGAAGGGACCCACACCCCAGCTTCCTCTGGAGTCAAAGAGAGGTGGGAGAGAGCTTGCTTAGAGCGTGAGGGAGCTGGGGTTCTGGGACCCTCTTCCTTCCCTCCATCCTCCTTTCTTTTCTCTCCTCTCATCCCGCCAAGTGTAGCAATGTTTCTGGGAACAGAGATGTCATGTTCCAAGATGAATGTCTCTCTCTCCAGAGCCTCAGCTCAAAGGCATCGTCACCAAACTGTTCTGCCGCCAGGGTTTCTACCTCCAGGCGAATCCCGATGGGAGCATCCAGGGCACCCCAGAGGACACCAGCTCTTTCAGTGAGAGGGGAAGCCAGCTGCTGGGTGGGAAGGGGGAGCGCAGGCATAGGAGATGACAGTCCTATTGTGGCTTCAGGTTCTGTTGTTTTCAGTCTGGCTCTTTGACCCTGCAAAGGAAGAAGTAGAACTGGGACCAGAATTGAGGAGGGGCTCGGATGGGGATTGGAGGCTTGGGGTACTGATACCCCTTCTCTCCACCCCCAGCCCACTTCAACCTGATCCCTGTGGGGCTCCGTGTAGTCACCATCCAGAGTGCCAAGCTGGGTCACTACGTGGCCATGAACGCTGAGGGGCTGCTCTACAGCTCGGTGAGACAAGGGGGCAGAGTGGCCTGGAGTCAGGGGACTCCCCTAGCTACAGCCTTCCCAGCTACAGATATTTTGCAGCTCAGGGCTTCCTCTCCCTCCAGCTCTTGCCTGTCCTCACTGCCTGCTCCCAAGCACCTCCTCTAGCGTCCCTCCAATCCCTTCTCCTCCAATAGCCTCCTAAATACCCCCAGGCTCTTTGAATGTCCAACTCTTCCAACCTTTTAGGACCCCTGTGTCTTCTCCAACCTCCTCTAGACCTCATTATTACTCACTTCCCCAGAGTCATTCAGGATGCTGGGGAAGGATTCAGGAACTCCTCCAAGCAGAAACTCCCTCCAGGTGCCCTGGATGGTGAAAGGTTGGGAGTAGAGCAGAGAGAAGTTATCTTCTTATCCCAGGTCCCCAGAAGTCTAGTTCCCGGCCCTCGGGGGGCCACCAGACTCTTCCTCATGCTCCCTTTCTCCCAGTTCCTGCGGGGACTCAGAAGTTGGCTCTCCCAGTCTCAAACGTATGGATTATATCCTGCCTTGTTTTTCCCAGGGCTCCCTTCTGTTCAGTGATGTGTCTTTTTGTCTTTCTGTCTGTGTGTGCCTTTCTGGGTCTTTGTCTCCTCAGCCACATTTCACAGCTGAGTGTCGCTTTAAGGAGTGCGTCTTTGAGAATTACTATGTCCTGTACGCCTCTGCTCTCTATCGCCAGCGTCGTTCTGGCCGGGCCTGGTACCTGGGCCTGGACAAGGAGGGCCGAGTCATGAAGGGAAATCGAGTCAAGAAGACCAAGGCAGCCGCCCACTTTGTGCCCAAGCTCCTGGAGGGTGAGTATGGACCCCCAGGGAAGAAGTGGACCACATGGGACGGTATTGACCTAGACATGGACATTTAGTGACACACAGCTAAGGGGCTATAAGTGTTTTAAGAGGACACATGCTATGACAGGTCAAGCCAGGAAGGCTTTGGCCTTTGGAGGTTTGGGAAGCTCTCCTTCTGTGGGTTCCCAGAGGAGGAGTGTAGGGGAAGGGAGCCCTTTCAGAGCTCTCTTGGTGCCTAACTCTCCTTCCTGCTCCTCTCTCTCCCCTTCACAGTGGCTGTGTACCGGGAGCCTTCTCTCCACAGTGTCCCTGAGACCTCCCCTTCCAGTCCCCCTGCCCCCTGCCATGTAGTCCCCAGACTGGAGGCTCCCTGCTCTAGCCACCACCACAGCCTGTCTCCCAGCCCTGCTTCTGGCCCTGCTCTCACCCCTGCTGCCACACTCATGCCCTGAGCAGCCATGTCCCACCAGGTGCTCTACCCTGAGGGAGCCTAGGGGCCGGCCATGACTTCCGGGGCTGCTGAGACCCTTAGATCCTTGGGACCGGGAAAGGGGTCAGAGAGAGGGACGTCTGAAAATGGTCCTGGCTGATCACTTCTTTCCTTCCACACTCACACCCTCCAAAGCCTTTTCCCGAGATGGTGTGGGGGGGTTCCAAAACTGACAAAACCAGGGCATAAATCTTCCCCACCCCGGGCTCAGCCAGTTCCTGGAGCCCTTTGCCCTTTTCATGGCCACCAAGCCATAGACTTATAGGTCCACTGCAGCTCAGGTTAGTTTCCTTCTTTCGCTTCTCCACCTTTTGCCTTGTTCCAGACAGGCTCTGGAACACCAGGCACCCCAGCCAGGGCCATTTCTGCACCCAGGGTCTGTGCTGGAACACAGGCATGCTGCCAGGCTCTGTTCTGGATCCATCAGGCTTCTGTCCTTCACCCAGATGGACCCCTGGTTTCCAATTAGAGAGTAGCTGGATTGGGGCCCTGTCCAGCTGTTGGTCTTGGCCTGAATTGGGCCAGTCTCAGATCACCACAGGTTTAACTTTCTTACCCCAGAGACACCCAATTCTAGAGCGTGGTGTTCTAGACACATACAGAGCCATACTTCCTTCTGAATCTCAGCTCTAGGACATAGACCACGACTCTCAGCCCTTCCCTCTAGGATGGAACTAGAGCCTATATAGGCATGTTATTGCTCTAGAGTAAGAGTTCTAGACCCACGCTTCCACTTTCTCTAGTGATACCTGTTAAGCAGGCGCTCTGGAAAGGACCCAGTTATGATTCACAAAGAACTAAGTCCAGAACTTCTTGTTTTCCCTAGACAATTTTCCAAAAATCTTATTCTTCCTATAGAATGCTAACCTTATTTTTTACATGCAGTTTCTAGCTCCTGCAACTCAGCTGGGGTCCTGCCAGGGAACAGAGGCTGAGGAAGGGCAGAGGAGTTTTGGAAGGAATCCCTGGCTCATAGAAGGGCAGCTAGGATGGGAAAGTGGCCAGAACCATGGCATGACTGGACCTGTGCCTGGGTTGGGGGGACATGAACACTTAGCTACCTCAGCAGGAATTCCTTCCAGGTCCCCTTTAAAGCTGAGGTCTTTAGGGTAATGGGTCTAGAATAAAAAAGACAAATGGGACATAGCTTTGAACCCCCTCAAATGAGGAGACACCAATTCAGCAATAAGTCCCACCCTTCTCCCCTACAGGTCAGGCCAAGGAGGGTGAGGGTCTCTTGGTCTCTAGACCTCATACACCCCTCCAGCTTCTAACTGAATAGAACTGGCTTTACCTCAGCTGGGTGTTAGGTACCCAAAAAGGCTCTGCTCCCAGGGGACCAGTCTCCACTCCATGCTTTCTCAATTAAAGACGATTTATACAATTGAAGTGTTGTCTGCCATCTGTGGGTAGCAGGCTTTGGCAGTCGCTCGGGGAGGGATCAAGTCCCAGGGGCGGGGCGGGTAGGCTGGCGGCTGCCCCCCAATAACAGGTGCACATTCCTGGGCGCCTCGTCACTTCCCCTGCGCTGGCTGTCCTGGTGGCTCACCCAAGCGGACTCACTGAGCGACGCGGGCGGGCTATGACCCCAGGGGCGCTGCTGCTGCTGCTGCTGCTGGGGGCGTTGGGGGCGCCATTCGCCCCGGGTAAGTCTGGGCCTCAAAGGGGCAGTGACAGGGCCAGAGGTCGTGGCCGGGCATCAGGGCTTCACTCAGTTCTCTCCTCCTCCAGGCGCCCGCGGCTCAGAGGCGGAGGGCCGACTCCGCGAGAAACTTTTCTCGGGCTATGATAGCTCGGTGAGGCCGGCGCGGGAGGTGGGAGACCGCGTCGGGGTCAGCATTGGTCTCAGCCTAGCGCAATTAATCAGCCTGGTGAGGGCGCACGCGGGGAGTTGAGGTCTGGCCCACTAGCCGGCTGGGGGGCGTGGCTTTAGGCAGGGCGGGACCCAGGGACCACTGTGGGCGGGGTCCGGGGCGAGGCCAGGCTGGGTGACTGACGGGCCGTTAGTAGAGATTGGGTCGAAATCGGACCAATGGACAAGCTGTGGGCGTGGCTGCTGGACGGGCCAGGATGGGGCCGGGCAGGATGATGAACGGGCCTGTGGGCAGATCTCAAGTGGAGCTGGGGCCGATGGACAGGCCGGAGAGCGGACCTTGGGGCGGGGTCATAGGCTGGGGCGGACCTTGGTGCCGGACAGGGTCAATAAACAACAGCGGGCAGAGATTCACTCCGGCCGGGGCCGGGACTGGTAAATGCACTGGCAGGCTGTACGGCCAGCAGGAAGTTTACGAGATAGAGGCGGAGCTTAAGCCAACGCAGTTTATAGGAGGTGGGGCTTGAACCCAAGAGGGTGCGACTCAGAAAGAGGGGAGTTTCCAGGGAGAGTTTACCCACCAAGCCCCTCATTTCTCTACACTGACATCATATCTACCCTTTAAACTTTTCCCTTCTAGAACGAGAAGGATGAGGAGATGAGCACAAAGGTCTACTTAGACCTGGTACGGAGACCCCCGCAGGGTGGGAAAGGGCGGGCGTCCCGCTGCCTTTACAATTTCCTCGAATGTCCCGCCCAGTAAGATTTTTTTTTTTTTTTTTTTGTATCACGGCCTCAGAAAACACATTTATAACTGAAACAGAAGCTTCAGGAAACAATACCTATCTTTACTATGGGAGCTGCATTCCATGCATTTTTCATTCTAAATTTTTTTTTAACACTGTTTTGGGGCCACTCATTTGATTCCGGACCTATGAAAAGGGTCGTTAACTGCAGTTTGAAAACCACTGTTTTAGAGGCTAGCGTGCAACCCCCTCGTTTTTACAGAAAGAAGAAACTGGGGCCCGATGAGAGAGAAGGGGAAATTAGTTGATAGGGTCCCAAAGAGTGCAGGTGGAGTCTTAAACAGAGCCCCGGCCTCCAGAACCACAGACCATGCCTGCGCGGCTCTCCTCCCTTGCATTCCCTGCCCGGACTTCCTTCGCACATCCCAAGACTCCTTCCAGCCTCCAGCCCCAGACGGCCCCTCAGCCTCTGCTTCCCTAGGAGTGGACTGACTACAGGCTGAGCTGGGACCCTGAGGAGCAAGAGGGCATCGACTCACTCCGCATCACTGCCGAATCCGTGTAGCTACCAGACGTGGTGGTCCTAAACAAGTAAGGATGTTCCCAGAGTCTGGGAGGTGGGGAAGGGCCTCTGGAGGGGCGCGGCCTCCGGAGGGAGGGGCCTGATCCCAGATGAGAAGATTCTTTCCCTGCAGCAACGACGGAAATTTTGATGTTGCTCTGGACATCAGCGTCGTGGTGTCCTCCGACGGCTCCGTGCGCTGGCAGCCCCCGGGCATCTATCGCAGCAGCTGCAGCATCCAGGTGTCCGGGCCCCCCCTGGGAAGCTCAAGGCGCTCCTAGAGACCCTCACTCAGATATCCCTCCTCCATAATCCCCATGACCCTCACGTCTCTCTTACCCTTCTGATTTTCCGTTGAGTTTCATCTTCTCTGTCCACTTTCATTGACTTCCAGTCTTCCTCAGTGACCGCCCCCCTCCATTGTCCATGACCTCCCCGCATAGCCTTCTTATTCCTCTGTGACTCCACTTCTCTGTGATCTTCCCCTGGTGGTCCCTATCTCCCTAGTGCCCCATATCCTTTGACCCCTGTCTGCCCTGTGACCTCCCCAACTCCCCCAGCCCTGACCAGCTCTCTGGCAGCTCTAGTGACTCTCCACTCCATCCAGGTCACCTACTTCCCCTTTGACTGGCAGAACTGCACCATGGTGTTCAGTTCCTATAGCTATGACAGCTCAGAAGTCAGTCTGCAGACCGGCTTGGGTCCCGATGGGCAGGAGCGGCAGGAAGTGCACATTCATGAAGGCACCTTTATTGGTGAGTGGGCATGGCTCCCATGTCCATGGGCTTTATGATTTCCGGTTTCTAACAGGCTGATAAATATACTCCATCAGTGAGTCCCTGTGGGTTCAGCAAGATAGGTATAACTGTCTATATTTTGTGGTTATGGAAATTGAGACTTGCTCAAATTTATTAGAGATGGGCTGTCCAGCCCAGGGACCATATCTAGCCCCTTATTACATCAGTCCCCCGTGCTCTAGGATGTGGCAGAGAAAGCCATATCTGGGAATTCCCTGGCGGTCCAGTGGTTAGGACTCCACACTTTCACTGCTGAGGGCCCGGGTTCAATCCCTCGTTGGGGAACTAAGATCCCACAAGCAGCGCGGTGGCGCAGTGAGGCAAAAAAAAAAAAAAGAAAAAGAAAAGAAAGCCGTATATCGGGCACCAACAAAGACAGGTTCCACATCTGTGTCACCTTCTCTTCTCCCCCCCCCCTCCGCCACCCAAGAGAATGGTCAATGGGAGATTATTCACAAGCCTTCTCGGCTAATCCAGCCTCCAGTGGATCCTAGGGGAGGGGGGGAAAGACGGCGTGAAGAAGTCACCTTCTACCTCATCATTCGCCGGAAGCCTCTCTTTTACCTGGTCAACGTCATTGCCCCATGCATCCTCANGGAGCAAAGGATGCTTGTGAAAGTTAAATAAGATGATGCTCATAGAAGGTGCTCAGAAGACGTGGTCCCCTGTAGGAAAAGGAGTGGAGGGAACCCAAGTCCCAGGCCTAGGGCCCCAGTCTCTTCTCAGACCCTGAAATAGACAATGATGATTCCTAATTGTAAGTGTTGCCAAAGGTCTTCCCAAAATACCTTAACCAGAGCTAAAAATCTTACACGTCATTGCTAAATACATGTTGTTTGGAGGTAGACCAAACTCTTCAAACCATGGGGTTTATGATGAAAAGATAGTCAAAGGTCCTCATGGGGTAGAGGGAGCTGGAAATCGCTGACACAAATCTGTAGATTTCAAACTTCTAAAAAAAAACAATAGAACCACCCACCCCCCACCCTGTCAACACACACACACACTTTTATCCAAACAACTTTTACAGGGAACCTCAAGCTATGAAACAGATGGGGGCAGGGGCAGAGGCAGAGGATAGGTGGGCCTGCCTACTCCTCTCTGGAATCTGACGAGGGGCTCCTGGGGCACGTCCACACACCCTGGAGCCCCCCAGGTGAAAACCATGCATCTAGATAACCCCAGAGTCCCGGCCAGCACTGCCACTCTCTAAGGCTAAACCGCAGTTTCCAAGCAGTAACAGACCGGCTAATGTTTTCTGAGAGCTTCCTATACTCCAGGATCTGTGCTTAGCTCCTGACACATGCTATCTTATATTGGCCTCACATGTTCTCCAGGAGGAAGACCCTAGTAGTAGTACTCTTAGGATCCCCATTCTCAGCTGAGGAAGATAAGGCCCGATGCAAGGATATTGGGCATTATAAGAAAAGTGTCCAAGTTCATTGAGTTTGAACATCATGGAGCCAAGAACAAACCTAGATAGTCTGGGTCTCGAATCTGTGTTCTTAACCCAGCCTGTAAAGCCTCCTAGTTTTGAGGGTTAATAGAATCTTTGTGAGTTAAAGTTTCCAATTCCCCATCAATTGACACTGTAACACCATTTTTAGTTTTGGGTTTTTTTTTTGTTTGCTTGTTTTGTTTGCTTTTGCTTTGTTTTTAAGAAGATGTATGGGAGTGACCCCCAATTCACCTCAATCTCTTATCTAAAACCCTCTGTGATCAGGCCAAAAGAGTAGAGCTCAGAGTTACTGTCTAACTTGAGGATCAAGCCATTGACTTTGACAGCAACCATGGCTGCTGGGAAGATTGTTCCTGCAAGTATTTTTTGATGACAGGACAAGGTGGGAACGGAAACAGAGAGTAGCATCTGATACCTCTCAGGGCCTTAAAACCCGCCTTATTGGACTCCCCTGGTGGCACAGTGGTTAAGAATCCGTCTGCCAATGTAGGGGACACGGGTTCGAGCCCTGGTCCGGGAAGATCCCACATGCTGCGGAGCAACTAAGCCCGTGCACCACAACTACTGAGCCTGCGCTCTAGAGCCCGCGAGCTAAAACTGCTGAGCCCACGTGCTGCAACTACTGAAGCCCATGCGCCTGGAGCCCATGCTCTGCAACGAGAGAAGCCACTGCAATTAGAAGCCCATGCAACACAACGAAGTGTAGCCCCCGCTCGCATGCAGCAATGAAGACCCAACGCAGCCCAAAATCAATCAATCAAAAAAAAAAAAAAAAAAACCTCCCCTTATTTACCAGGCACTACACTCCAGTGAAGTAGACAGGACTATCCCCATTTCATGATGGCAAAACTGAAGCTCAGAGAAAATCTGCTGGAGATCCCCTAGGTCAGAAGCGTCAGAGCCTGGATTTGAACCCAGCACTCTCTGACCTTCCATCACTCTACACGAGACCTTGGGGAGAGTGGGTCCTTGCCCTTCTTCAGAGCCTTCCTCAAAGCCTTCCTTCTTTGCCTGCTTCCACCATAGCCCTTGTCACCAGCCATGCCAGTACTTGTTGCCACTTCTGCCTCTTTTACTACCCAGAGAGCCTTGGTGGTAGAGTGTGTGTACACACAGGGCCCTCTGTGAAGGTCTGCTAGGGAATGAACAGCCCAGTCCAAGTAACCCAGACCTCCGAGGAGATGAGAACCACCCCTCCACGAAGGAAGGATCTTAGATTACAGGAAAGCACCACTGGACTGCCCAGCACCACTGGACTCCAAGCACTGAGAACCCCTCCGGCCCCTGGAAATTCACACTTCCTCCCTCCCACACATGGTGGCCTTCTTTGGTCTCTGGGAAATCCCAGGGCAACTTTTGACTTCTAAGTGGGTGCCCAGGAGCCAAATTTTTCCCCCAAAGTTGAGTGTGTGATTGGGTATTCAAATTCTCCCAGCTAGAAGGACTCTTGTCTGTCTTTCCCTCTGCTTCAGGACCAAATATCGCACAGGACAGTGTGTTTAAGAACCTGGGATCTGGAGTCCACCAGACATGGGTTTGAGTCATGGCTCTGCCTAGCTCTGCGATTTGGGGTAAATTAACCTCCTTAACCTCCCTGAGCCTCCAAGAGGAAACAGTTAGTTAACTAACCGTGACCACACAGTGATGTTTTGAGACTCAAATAAGATAATGCACAGAAAATGCTTAGCACAGGGCCTGGTTCAGAGCAGGTGCTCAAAAGGAGTGGAGCCTTGAAATTGAGCCCTGCCCTCTCTCAGAGGCTCTGAGCGGCTGGTAAAGGAGGAGCCGGTGGTCAGAGTGGAGCAGGGAGAAGCTCACCTGTTGGGGGGGGGGATGGGGACAGGAAGGGAAGCCCGATGCTGAGTCAGTGGGAGCTGCGGAGGGCACAGTGACTCAGACAGATGTTCCCATTCAAAGAACCTGCCCCAATATTAACCACAGGAAGCAGATAGGAGTTCAGGCAGTAGGGCCTTTCCATGGTAGAAACCCATGGGCAGTGTGCTAGGGAGGTGGAAAGGGGACACCAGGGTGGGCAGGGAGGGGAGAAGATTAAACTTCAGGCTGTAAAACAGAGAGGGAGACACAGGGCACAGTCTCTCCCACAGCCCCTC